CTCTTTTGCTATTCAAAACGTCACATTTAATGCTTCATAATTAGTTTAAATTAGCAGAGCCTAGCCGGACTGTGGCTCAGCCTGTAATCCTGTGCCTTTGGGAGGCTGAGGTGAGTGGATTGCCTGAGCCCGCGGGTTCAAGACCCGCCTGGGCAACTTGGCGAGACCTCATCTCTACAATAAATCAAAAAATTAGCCGGTCGTGGTAGCACGCGCCTGTAATTCCAGCTACTCGGAAGGCTGAGGCGGAAGGATCGCCGGAGCCCAGTAGGCGAGGCTGCGGTGGCCGGGAGCGGCCACTGCACTCCAGTCTGGGTGACAGAGTGAGACTCCAACTCAAAAAAAAAAAAAAAAAAAAAAAATTAGCAGAGCTTGTGTTGTTTTTCATCTCCACTGATGAATTAGAATTGGAGGTACCTTGTGATATGAGGGGTCCATTACATTTATATGAGAAAATTTCAGGAAAGTGACATCTGTTAGACATTTAAAATGGAGGAAGATTGCAGAGTTGCTTTTCCTGAGGTTGTGACAAGTAAATACCACTCATCTGTCAGGACTAAATTGAAAGGTACTTTGTCAGACACAGTGGGGCAGACTAAAGAATTAATTGTATCAATCTAACTTCACATACTTTCTTGATAGGATACTGTACTATTCACGAAGAATAGCTTATACTATTTGGAAAAAGTATTTGAAAATTCAACATTTTTAGACTAAAAAGTAGGTTCAACAGAAACCAGACTGGCTGAGGATGAAAAGATTTGCCATTGACTGACAGTGGGATGTTGGACTTTTCCTAGGCTCCCAGGGACATTGAAGTGTTCTCACTGGGCCTAAGACTAGCATTCCCTGGCAGTGTATCTAACACAGTCTGGTTCCTGGTCCCTGATTCACTTATCACTCTATAGCTGAAGCCAAACCCAGTAGCTGCATCTGTAGGCTCTGCTTTGCCACAGCCCTACCTACCATCAGTTCTGTGTCTTTAAACCATTGTGCCGCATATGAAGGGAACTCAAAAAACCAGAATCATTGTGTGGAGGGCGGGCCCTTTGTAGTATATGCTTCCTCCACTAGCAAGTGTTCTAGGAACCCATCGGCGTCAGTGTTCCAGCTGGCATTGTTGTGAAAGCCTGTGTTCAGCTTCAGTGAATATTTTTTTTTTAGATTCTTTCAACACGTTTGCCCATTTCATGATGGGTGATTGACACAAACCTTACCACAGCACGCTGAGTGTTTAGCAGTTTTTGACCAAAAATGGCCTAACCCCTATGCCTCACCCTCCCAATTCACCCCAAGCTTCGCTGGATGAAATAAGCCCGCAAAGGAAATGTTTTGCCAGCGTGAAAGGGGTGAAACAAAAAATGGCAGAAGCACTAAAAGCTATCAAAATTGATGACTTCAAAACCACTTGGAGCAATGGAAAAAAGTCTTAATAGGTGTATTGCATCAAATAGAGTACTTTGAAGATGACTGAAGTTTAAACATGTAAAAATAAATACACAATTTTTTATAAACTCCGTTTTTGGAGTCCTCCCTCATATTTAATACCTGATTGAGGGGGTTCTTATTTTCTTCTGCAGTTTCCCTTTCCTTCTTTTCTGCTTGAATATTCTACTCTGGTCTTCATAACTACACTTTGATGCCCGTTCTTGTGGTCTGCTCTCTGTTTAGGATTTCCCTTAGACAGATGCCCACCTGAGGACTATTGCTTTCCGCTTTTGCAGTCTCTTATGGCTGCTTATGCACTGAAATAATCTACTTCTAGTCTCAGCAGTCTGGCTTATTGTGTTGCAGTTAACCCAGCCATCAGACTAATGATATAAAAGACATGTATTACTTTGGGAGGCAAAGAAATGTAGAAGTTAAGAAGCTGGATTCTAGAGTATGGCAGCTTGGATTCAAAATCCAGCTTCAGCACTTACTGTCTAGGCAACATTGTTAAGATCTGTGAGGGGTCTGAGGTTTTTCTATACTATACTTGCAAGCTAGCAGGTTAGTCTGCCATAATCTCATGGATGTAGGGAGAAGACCTGAAATTTCTGGACCAGTGACAAAAGACAGCTTATTACTCACAGCAATACAATAGTCGAAGCATCCACATTTGTGCTGGTTCTCTGACTCCAATGACAGCACACAGAATGGATTGCATTATGGGAGAGGAACCTCAAATGTAAGCAGCCCAAATCTTTTATAATGGACAATGAGCCTGCCTGACCTCTGCCTAGAGGGAGATATTATCTTTATTATACTAGTTAGTAAGCAATTCTGTGCTTTGCTTTGGAAGGAAACATTATCTTTATCTTTCAAGGCTGTTCACTGTTGCAAACATTCTTGAAAGGTAGGGCCAGTGCCCCTGTTTGTCAGATGTGCAGAAATAAAACAGACCCATGGATGAGTTCTTTGAACCTTAGGTTTCTCATCTGAAAAATGGAATTTGTAGTATAACGTATTTGATAGTGAGAATCAAATGGATATTAATGCATATCTAATGCTTAGTATCATGCCTGACATTGACAAAAGGGCTTTGTCAATGTCAATTACTATTATGATTATTTCTTGAATAAGATACCACCATGTTAATTAACTTCTTTGTTTTTGCTAGTAAATATAATATTGCAGTTCACTGATGTGTCACATTATTTGAATCATCAAATATTAAAACTAAAAAGGACCATAAACCTAGCATTTTACAGAGAAGAAAGTAGGTTCAGAGAGGTTAAGAGATCTATTGAATTTTACAAAGAAAAGCCATAACAAGAATCTGATTTACAATTCAGATTCTTTTTAGTTACATAATGCCTGGAACTCAATAAATATTGGTCTTACAAATGAAGTGAAACAAGCCCATGATATATTAGAAAACATTTCACAAGTTCATTTGGTTACTCTCTTCTTCCTGCTTGCTTGACTTACAAACCTCCTTCAACCTAGACCTGAAAGTAAAATTAAATAAATAAATAAGTGGTGGGGAATTAAAATAAGTACCCCATATCTTCTCCTCCTCTGTATCCCCTTAATAGTCTCTGTCTCCATGGGTGAAAAAAATCCAGAAAACTACAAGGAAAGTACTTTCTGTGTGTGGGGGTGATGTTGAACGTGGTCCCATTATGGCTAAAGGCAGGGCCATACTAGTGGAATGTCTGACAACTTTATGTCCACGGCTTTGTGCTGGCTTATGGACAAACTTCCACAGGCATGAGGGCAGTAGTAAGGAAGGGGAAAGAAGGAAGTAACAGAAATAACATCTAGTTTCAGAGACAACTTGTGAAAATTCAGGGAAGAAATTTATCCTAAAAAGATCTGCAAAAATCAACTCAGTGATATTTGTACCTCTTTTCAATACCAATACCAATACTGTTATTTCTCTCTTCTGAAAAGTGAGATCATAGCTTTTGGTCCTATAAGGCTCTGAAATTCTTTCAAGGACCCCAGGTAACTAAAGAAAGATTTGAATAGGAAAGAAGTGATAGGAAATGTTAATTTTCCCTAATCTTTTGTCTACAAGTCATCTGCACAATTTCCTGCACTCCGGGTAATTCTGTTCTGGTGTCCCAGGGGTGTCTCACAAGCGCTTTTTTTTGAATTGGGAATCTCACTCCATCACCCAGGCTGGAGTGCAGTGGCACGATCATGGCTCACTGCAGCCTCAACCATCTTGGCTCAAGCAATCCCCCTGAATCAGGCTCCCAAGTAGCTGGGACTACAGGCACACACCATCGTTCTCGGCTAATTTGTTAATTTTTGTAGAGACGAGGTCTCACTATGTTGCTCAGGTTGGTCTCAAACTCCTAGGTTCAAGCTATCCACCACGTCTTGGCCTCCCAGAGTGCTAGGATTATAGGTGTGACTCACAGGTGCTCTTGATGAGATCTGCTCCCATCTTTCACCTATGGAGGGCACTGCACTGCCCTCTTCTGGGAAAGGCAGGAACTGCTCTGTTTTGCCAGCACTTTGCACCTCTACTCAGGGTGCCATTGCGTGTGTGTGTGTGTGTGTGTGTGTGTGTGTGTGTGTGTGTGAAAGAAAGAGAGAGAGAGAGAGAGGAAGGGAGAGAGGGAGGGAAGGAAGGAGAGACCGTAATATAAACATGACTTTTCCCCTCTGCTTTAGAGATGTCCCAAAGCAATGTCATGTGTTTCTTCTCCTTTGTAAGGAGTTTAGGGAAATAATTCTTTCAGTTTCTACTTGGAGCATCTATTTCTCTGGAATCCGAGATTCTGGAGAGGAATTCAAATTTGTGAGAATGTCAGGCAGTCCTGGAAATCCCTAGACCTAGACCCCCATGTTGAGGAAGGCCGTGTTAGGGTCAGAGCCATCACAGCTGGGCATCCCTTCCCACAGGAGAACTCTCTCACAGGCTCCCCTGCTTTTCCTCAAACAGGCTTCTGTAGAACCATCTCACCAGTTTGCATTTAAATTCTGTTTGTTTACACAGTGGAGGACAAAATTAGAGCTTAGGCAGAAGGCTGTTAGGCCTTCTGACCCCTAACTTCCCACTGGCGCATCCTGACATACATGCTTACATCTGGTAATCCACAGATCTTGGGTCAAGCTGAAATCCCCTCTACAGATGTGAATTGTAAAGCATGCACACATGATATACATCATATACCTTCAGATAAGAAAATTGACTTATATCCTATCTCCAAATGGAGCATGGACACGTCTTAAATTCCAGATACATCAGTTTATTCACATATTCATTCTTCTTTTATCAAAGAAGGAATACAAGGTGATTAGACACCCTATCTATGTCACAGCCCTCATCATCTGTTGCTTTACTTTATGTCTTCATAGATGTAAATTCCCCAGTTAAAGCTTGATTTACACCATTTTATGGTTAACTCTGAAAAATATCCCTTCTGAAATTGCTAGTTTCAACAACTCCACACTCCATCCCTCTGATTGGAAAGGAAGTATTTCAATCAGGCATATGCAGGAAATGTGGAGTTTTGTTCAGTGACGGATGTTGTAATGTTCCTGATGCTCTCTTTGCCCAGGTTATGCAGATGTACCTTCCATTTTGTGGAATTGCCATATCTAATGCTCAACTCTTTGCGGCTTCAAGGAAGGAATATGAAAGAAGCAGGGTGAGTAGAAGGAAAATGCTGACAATCCTCAATACCCTCTGTCTTTCTGGTCTCTCTGAGTCATGATGTCTTTTTAAAACAATAGGTAATCTTTGGATAGTCCAGGAATATTTGTTATTTGTATACATCTACAAGGCTGTGGTCAAAGATACCCTTTAAGCAATAAGCCCAAATGAAAGTGGATATAAATTCTCTGTTGTTTGGAGAAAATTCTTGCTTACTTATAGCGTTGAAACAATAATGCCATTTGGCAATGCTTTTACAATTTAGTTCCTTTACTAAACAAGATATAACCAATATGATTTCACCCCACTTTTCAGATTTTGTTTCTGAATTTAAAGGTTTTCTGAAAGAGCACTATAAAACTCGTAACAATATTGCAAAGACTAATAAACAGAATTATGAAGAAACACAATTACAAGGATGAATTTCATGTGTCTTCATAAGTTATAGAGCCAAGTAGTGAAAAATCAAAGACTCAAAAAATGCTAAATTATCAAGTAGAGATGAAATTGTATTAGACCCATTCTACTTCTAAATATAAGAAGATTACTGTAATAACTTAGAAATATATTTAACAAGAAGATGTTCAAAAAGTTTAAAACCTTCAGTTAATCTTCAGTTAATCTGGTCATAGAGTTGATATAAAATGTCATTTGCTGTGTACCATAATACTTGTGTATCATAACACTATCATAAAATGTCATTTGCTGTGTACATAATGTCATTTGCTGTGTATCATAATACATAATTCGTGGATATTTCTCAGTCAACAGAGGAACATCGTTGACTAATATAGCCATCATCCCTGGTGTGGCACACCACACCCCTCTCTGATCTGGATCCTTTTTCCATCTGTAGTCTCATGTCTTACCATGCTTGTTTTTTCATCTGGCATTCCAGCAATATCATCTCCAATTTCCAAAAAACTATCTGTTTCATTTTGTCATACTTTTAACCACATGCCTCCCCTTGCCTTCACTGCCTCATGCCCACCCCTGCCTACCTCTGCCATCTGCTTTGCACATCCCTCAGGACCCAGCTCTGCCTTCCCTTCTTCACTTAGGCTTTTCCTTGCACCTCCTGCCATTGTTCTACAGGGGATACCTATCACACTGTATTATGATAGGTATAAAGAGAGTCCTCTTCTCCAACTCCATTATGGCCTCCGTAAGGGAAGCTTCGTGTATAATTAATCTCTGCATCATTGTGTGTGGCATAATTCATTCACTCATTCAACACGTATTGCTTGTGTGATTCACTTCAGATGCTGACCATTCAAATCCCAGCTCTCATGGAACTTCATATTCTAGTAAGCACTACAGATAATAGATAAGAAAACATAAAAAATAATATGCTATCAGTAGTGATAAGTGCTATAAAGAAAAATAAAATGAGATTAGGGGATAAAGGGTTGCAGAAGGGTGGTTTGGAAGGATGTTTATTTTAGAGTGTGATCAGAAAGGTTTCTATAAGGATATGGCATATGATATATGATATAAGGCATATTATATATGATATATGGTATAAGGCATATGATATGTGATATATGATACTTGAATGAAAGGAAGAAGCAAAGCCACACAAAGGTCTGGGGAGAGCGGTTCAAGCAGTAGAAATATCAAGTGGGGGCAGGAGAAAGCTAGGTCAGTGTGTCTAGAGAGCAGAGAAGAAGGAGGGGAATGGAAGAAAAGAAAATGAGAATGGGGAGATGAGCCAGGGGTCAGATGGTAGAAAGGCCTGTGGGCACAATAAGAACTTAGACTTTTGCTCTGAGTGCAATGGAAATCCAATAGGAGACTTTGAGCTGAGTCTGACTTACTTTTAAAGTGATCACTCCCGCGCCTTTGGGAGGCTGAGGTGAGTGGATTGCCTGAGCCCATGGGTTCGAGACCTACCTGGGCAACTTGGCGAGACCTCATCTCTACAATAAATAAAAAATTAGCTGGGCGTGGTAGCGCATGCCTGTAATTCCAGCTATTTGAAGGCTGAGGCGAAAGGATCACCAGAGCCCAGAAGGTCGAGGCTGTGGTAGCCAGGAGCGGCCACTGCACTCCAGTCTGGGTGACAGAGTGAGACTCCAACTCAAAAAAAATAAAAATTAAAAATAAAATAAATAAATAAATAAAGAGCTCACTCTGGCTTCCCAGGAAACAATAAACTGGAGAAGAGAGAAAAGGGGGAGGAAGGCTGATGCAGGGAGAGGAGTTAGGAGAGAACTGTATTAAAGTCAAGCAATAATGCGGCTGGGACTAAACCATGAGACGTGAGCAATCTCCTCCCTCCACAATCAGTGGTGAAATCTACAGGGCTTGCTGATGTGGGATATGAGTGAGAGACTTTTGGCTTGTACAGTTAGCAAGTAAACAGTTGGATCCAGGTATCTAAAATTTTGGGGAGATGTCAGGACTGGAAATTAAGATTTGGGAACCACCAACATATAGATAGGTGTTTAAAGTCAGAGACCAGCCTGGGCGACATAGTGAGACCCTTGTCTCTATCAAAAAAAAATTTAAAAATAGCTAGCTACTTAGGAGGCTGATGCAGGAGGATCTCTTGAGCCCAGGAGTTTGAGACTGCAGGGAACTATGATGAGGGCACTGCATTCCAGCCTGGGTGACACAGCAAGCCCCTCCAGCCCTCCCCCCTCCAAAAAAAAGATGAAGGAGGGACAAAATGCAGATACTTGTTTCCTGGAAGGCAAGTGGCATCAAGAAGCAGCAAGCACCTGTGTGAAATGCTTCCAGGATCTGTTGAATTGCATAGTGTCCTAGATTTTCTTCTCTTTTTTTCCTATTCTGGGCCTAGTCTGCATTGTTATTTCAAAACTTTCACCAGTTGTTAATAAAGCAGCAATTTTTAATTAGAAGCAATAAAATTACTATAGTGTGATTTGTCAGTGCAAGACTCAAGGCACAGTTTTTCCTTTGAGATAAATGTTCTTGTATACGAGTCCCAAAGGCTCTCTCTGCGCAGTCACAACAAATCGAAAAGTTAAGTAATTGTTCAGTTAATATGATTCATCTGAAGAAATTGTCTGGATGATTAAGGAAATAGTGTCTCCCCCTTAATAACAGGGAATTTTGCTCATAATTATTCACAAATTGTCTTGTTTCTAATGTTAAATTAGAATATGAAATTATTGTGCATTGACCCCTTACAGCGATTTGCTGTCCAAATGCCAAATATCAGGATTCACTTAGACTTTTTTCAAATCTTAATGTTTTTCTTCCCTTTGAGATCATAGAACAATATGACCGTGGTCATAATCAGTCTTTCCTTAGAGATAATGCTACCCAGGATATTTGGTCCTCTTTCAATTGCTTAGTGAATTAATCTTATTTCATGAATCTCTTAATTTATTCAAATGTTTTCCTACCTGAATTCCACATGTTTCAAATGGTTTCAGGAGAAACAAAATTCATTACTAACATTTAAAATTAGTACCAACCCTGGGATGATCACTGGTACCATGGTGAAGAGATATGAATTTGACAGTTTGTGAAATCCTTTTGTGAGGTGGTCAGACTTGAGTTAGCATATCTTTTAAAATTCTGTTGAATATAGCACCCTCTGACCAGTTCACTACCTGTGTAATTTTCTGATTGCTCTCTGCAAGAAGCATAATATCCACCACCTATATACAACCCACTGTTGTTTAAAATCTCTGAAAATATCCATGTCACTAAAAATTCTAAACAAATATTATTTTAATGCAAAAATTGCAAGTGAACTTAGCTGGAGAAAATGATGCATTAATCAATTTAATTTTTAAATGAATACACAGTTTTAAAATTAGAATTTAAAAGGTTTTTTCCTCTAATTTTTGTGCTTTTCATTTTACTGTTTTAACAGAAATTTTAATGGTGGCTTCTTTCCTGAAATACATAATGATATATAAATGTTCCCCTGGATAGTGTAGGATGAGGCAGTATTTCATCTCCTTGTGTAAAGGAATTAATGAGGGTTACAGATATATTATTTGAGGAATCTAAACCTTCATTAACATTCACCTCCATAATTCTTTCAGAGTTCTGTGAGAAATGCATATTAGTAAAATAAGTCTCAAGTTTGACCAAGAAGTTATTTCTTACTGATAGTGAAGAAGAGCTGCTTTGCAATTTTCTGAAATAAATGTACTTTGGAGAGAATCAGGTGTTTGTTATGTATAAAATGTTGGGTTTATTCCTAGTTGCATTACAGAAAAACTACCATAGGAGAGGGGAAAAACCTGTAGCTAATGGCTATATGACTTCTGTGTCAATCTGAAAAAAATTGAAAGGAACAGAATTTAAGAGTTTATTCAAGCAAAAAACTGTGAATGGTCAATCCAGGAGACAGACTCCAGAGAAACGTGCTCAGTGTTTCAAAGTTAAAAGTTAAGTTCTATATAGGCAGAAAACACATTGAAGAGGATTATAGCATTTTCTATATAAAACTAGTTTATGAGTTGCAGCAATATTATCAGGAACAGTTTGTTTTCTGTACAGCTAGTTTTCATTTATTTTTCAATTTAAAAGAGTATATTTAACATCCCATCTTAAGACAATGTGATAGCCACAGAGTCCTTGTGTGAGAAAAGTAAGAAGGAAGTTAAATTAGTCTATAATGAAAATCAACAGTGAAGAGGGAAGAGGTCTTCCCTGATGTTCTTTAGTAATTTTCAACATTTTACAAAACAATGTAGGTAAGGAAGAAGGCCAGTCTGTAATCAGAGAAACAAAGGTTACAGCTGCCTAGGTTACAGCTACCTGTCATGTGACTCCGGCTGCATAATCATATTCCTTTAAAGCTCAAAATAATTTAGATTTCCAACAGCATACGTATCTGTGTGTGTGTGTGTGTGTGTGTGTGTTTTGTCTGTTGTTTGTTTATCTGTTTTTGTTTTTGAGTCAGAATCTTAGTCTGCCACCCACGTTGGGATGTTGTGGTATGATCACGACTCACCACAGCCTTGGACTACTGGGCTCAGGCAATCTTTCTGTCGTAGCTTCCCAAGTAGCTGTGACTAAATATGTGCCAGCACACTCAGCTTGTTTTTTTTTTTTTTTTGTAGAGACAAGTTTTCATTATGCTGCCTAGACTGGTTCAAACTTTTGGGCTCAAGGAATGCTCCTGTCTTTGCCTCCCAAAGTGCTGGGTTTACAGATGCAGGCCACTGCGATTAGCCCAAATGGCTTATATTTTGAATTACTTATTTTTACACCTGTTATACAGAATAACTTTATTCTCAAGTTTCATTTAGCAGTTAAAGAGTGTTATAAAATGAAATGATGAAAATATTTCAAAGCAATCATAAAAGCTTTTAAAGTTAGGCACACAAAAATTTTCATAACATTTTATTAGAGCAAAAACTAAACATTTTGAGGAAAAAACTAACTTGTTTTCAGTTCCAATTCACTGAAATACATCCATTTTAAATTTCCCAGGCTTTGCTAGAGGTAGTTAATGACCTCTTTGAAGAACAGACTGACTTGGAGAAAATTGTCAAGAAAATAATGCATCGGGCCCAAACTCTGTTGAAATGTGAACGCTGTTCTGTTTTACTCCTAGAAGACATTGAATCACCAGTAAGTTATCTTTTATCTTTCATAACAAGTTGAAGACTATGTGAATGAAATAAAGTTGAGTTTATTTATAATTAAATTTATGAAATCATGACTTAAACCACTCTCTTTATGACTCTTCTAACCTTGAGGCAATTTTTTGTAAAATGAGAGTTTTAAAATTTTTCTTTGCATGTATTTTCATTCTTATTTTGTAGTTACCTTAGGCTGATAGTGACCTTAGTATTTATCCTAGTCCTGTGTATTTACAGATGAAGAAACTAAGGGCTCCTTTAGAAGATAAACTCCACCTCCCATTTTACTTATCTATTACTTATCTATTAAGAGGAAGGGCCTCAGCATTTATGGGAGTGGATTGCAGTCCAGACAACATTCCACATCCATCTTAAGGAAAACAGGAGGCAGACAAATTAGGGGAGAATCAGTGCCCTTAGTTCCTGGAGCCCAGGCAAACTGGATTTCAGCTGATTGGAATGGCCAGTGGTGGCTAGGCTGTTCTCTGCAGCAGGTTTGTTCTGCTGAAGCTTCCGGGTTCTTTTTCTGATGCTTTGGATCTGTGGATCCCGGTACAGGAGTTCCTCCACTCCAAAGAGAAGAATATAGTCTGGGGCCTTGGGCCTGCTGCACCATGGTGATTTGTGGTCCGCTTTCAGGTTTTGCTAAGCCCTTTGGCCCTTTAGGGAATATCTGCTGGGTAGATAAACAACAATATTGAAAATAATGATTATCATCAATCTAAGTTCTTGAAAGTTAAATGTCTAAACCCTCAGCTCTCAGCAGCAATTTAATATATTTGCTGAGAACTTTCTTCAAAGATCAGGAGCTGTCTGGCAATTAAGAACTGTTTTAATACCTTAGAGGATGATATTTAACCATACTTTCCTTAGAAAAAGATTATTGCCTTTGCCTTTAGGTTTGATTTCCTCAAAGAATAGAACCTTAGGGTAAATTTTAGAGATTTAATAAGTACTATAAAACTTACCACATTGTTTTTTAAAACTCTATATATGTCTAAAATGTTTTAAAGATTTTAGCAGAGCTTGGGGTTATTTTTATTTCAGTTGGTGTTTACACAAAAATAGCCATGCAAGTATCCTGTGATTGCGTAAAACTCAGCTGAACTTTGGAAGAATATGTGCACACATCCCTGCCCCAATAGCCCATACTTAGGGAGTGCTTCGAGAAACTCTGTGAAGCAGCTGAGTTCCTTTAATCTTCAGCTTATGAGTAGGTATTATTATCACCCTAATTTTATTTATGAGGAAATAAGGCTAAGAGCATTGAGTGACTTGCCAGAGTCGCCCCCACTGCCTTATTCCAAAGGCCCCAAAAGGAATGGGAAGAGATGGGATCCTCATTAGTGGCTAAAAGGCTGCAGGGCAACAAAGAAGCCCTATTATGCAAAGGCAGGAGGGGCAGCTGTTGGGGCTTCAGCTGCCAGGATTCCCTGAGCCACTCCCAGATCCCTGTGGGAACATGCGGCTGGAGGCAGGGCTTGAGGGGAGGCTGGAATCTGGAAAAGGGCAAACTCATTGTTAGCTCAGTTGTAAACAGACATAAAAGTAACTTGAACCAGCTAAGGTGGATCATTCTTGTTAATCTTCTACCCTGGATTAGCTTTTGCAGTGCTCTAGCTCTCCTGGCAAATAAACGAAAATGTACAGATAATAGAAGTCGATATTGAACATGGTGGAAGAGCTGGACTGATGGACTCATATTAAAAACCTTTATCATCTACATTTGACAAGGGGTATGAATGATTATCAGAGACAGCACTCAACCAACACTCTTAAACACTTTTATTTTATTGGCAAAGAGTAGACTTAGATACATTTTTATCCATTCAAAAATGAGAGAACGATAGTGGAACTTGACAACGTAATTTTAAATCTCTTTATGTTCATATTATCAAACCAAAGGAAGAAACTGAGGCAAAATCAATATAAGTAGAGAGTTTATTTGGGCCAAGTTTGAGGACTGCAACCCAGGAGAATAGATTCAAGTGTCCTTGAATCTATGCTCTGATTAGCAGCAGCTACAAGTGGGTATTTAAAGGAAAAAATAAGAGGCAGTTCCTAAGTTGTTTACCAAAAATGTATTAAAATAACATATGCTATTGATCAGCTATATACTATTCTTTGTATCACAGATTCTAGGAACATGAAGATAATGGGTGAGGCAGCTGCGGAAAGAAAAAACAAAATGCCTTTATTATTTTTTTTAATTTTAAAGATATGGGGTACAATTCCAGATTAGGTATACAAATGTTCATTATGCAGGTACCCTTGTTGATGAGGTGTGCCCCACCTTCCCCAGGCAGATTCCCAATACTGCCAATCCCACCCGGCCACCCCCCAAAGCCCCCCAGGCAGTTTCCCACTACTTCCAATAGCAAAATGCCTTTAAACAATCATGCCTGAGCATGAGTGGGTTGCATGTGATTAAAGTTCTATGCTTGCATGTCTCTGAGCCTGATAAATTTTGCATAACTCACACAGTTCAGACTGCTCTGAGCTATTTTTTTTTCCAGTATGGAAAAATAAACACATATGAATAGCCAGAAAATTTGTTAAAAAGGCAACAAAGATGAAGAATGGGTGGGATTTTGCCTGTGAAACAGTTACAATGTATTGTAAAACTAGAAGTTGATTCCTTGTAAAGAAACAAAAGTAAAAGAACAAAATCGATTCCCAAAACCTCAATACATGTGAGAATCAAGTAAAGACTGTTCTCTTGTAGAGTTTAGACAATCACTAATAAGGGGAAAAAAGTATATTATAAGATATTCCAACTTGACAAAGGTATTTTTACTGCAAGTATTTCAACAATACAGATATTTTTATAATTATAAAGGAATACATATTAGATCTCAACATTACTGCACAATTCTGGAATTCAATTATACTTTTTTCTGTTACTTATGACCTTTCTTTCCATGTTATTATCAGCAAACCTATCACTAGCAGGGTATTTCTTAGACATTCCCCATCATCTTTGTTGTAGTATTTATGATAAACAGCAAAGAGCTTTTTCCTATACAGAGTGCTAGTTCTATTTTTAGATGTTATAACTAATAGTTGTGTATATAACATAAAACAAAAGTTGCAGGAAAAAAAGATAGATTTCAAGGTGTTAAGGGAGAGTCCCTGTTTTCACTCCCTTCCTCAACTTGCCAGTCAGCCTAGTATGTTGTTTTGGGGGAAGAGTTACACAGAATATTGGAAAAAAACAGCTAAATTCTGTGCTTTTAAGTTCCAAAACAGGCCTTTAAAATTTATAGCAGGGTTGGGCATGTGGTAGTGTGAGCCTGTAGTCTCAGCTACTGGAGAGGCTGAGTGGGAGGATTGCTTGCCAGCCTAGGCAACAGAGCAAGACTTTGGCTCTTAAAAATAACAACAATAATAAATATAAGATTTATAGCAGGGTTATTGTTCTGGGAAACCAAAACTTTTCATTCGCAAGAACCAGGGTTTCCTAAAGACTCAAGGGAATCAGAGCCTACAGTTATGAGCAAAGCAATAGACTGAAGAGAACAGGTGAAGCTCTCGACTATCCCACTCTTGGATTGCTCAGACTAAGGGAGGACAGAAAGGAGAAAAATAAATGTGATAGAGTCAGGCTTCCTAACCTCAGCCCCAGACTCAAGTCCCCATGTACTGGAGGTGGTGGTAGTAAGAGTAGGTGAAAGTTCCCCAGACACTGTGGCAGGGGAGAAGATGAGAGGTGCCAATATTGGGGAGTCAGGCAGTGAGAGCCCCACAGTTTGTCTGAAGCCCCAGAGGAGCATAAGAGACAAATACAACTTTCCTCATTTCCTGAGAGAAGTTAACAGGAGAGCTGGGACCTGAAGAAAGCTGGCTGTCAGAATGAGGCAGGCTCAGAGTTGTGACCTGGGGGGCTGTGGATATTTAAGCCTGTCCAGTGTGAGGAACAACAAGGCCCAGCAAGGCCTCCTTACTTCATAGCAGAGGCCACTCGGGGAAAGGGTGACTTTAGATCAGCCGCTTCTCTCCAAAGCACCCAGAAAGTTGCTTGTCACCCTGGTGAGATTTCAGTATTAAGTGAGTTTAAATCTTAAATGACTGCGAAAACCTGAAGTGACTGAGCTTCACTAGAATAATCTCTTATGTTTTTTGTCAACAAGCAGAACTGGGGCTCAAGAAGAGAGTTAGCTGAGTTACAGAAAAATAAAGTTACCTTTATGCACAGCTGTACCTGTGACCTTTGAAATTTACAATCGATACACAAATTACGTTCTTTAATTAGTCATCTTGCATTCAATCCACATTTGTGACAAAGAAAACATTTGAAATTAGGTAGGCGAGGAGAACGATGCATTAGTCTACAAATGTTTTGGAAACAAATGCCTGGTAATTTGGGGCAAAAAAAACCCCACAAGAAGCTAGATTTCTATCTCATAGCTGTCAAAATAGAATTTTATAAAAGACAGAATTATGACTCATGTAAATATAAAATAAATACAAGTCAAAAGTTTTTTAACTCATTTATTTATGAGGTAACCAATAGTGTTAAACCAGTCCAAAGAACATTTGAGAAGTTAGATATTTATAGGCAATGTTAGGATACGATTTCAAGGTTAAAAACAAAACTGGTTAAGGACAAAACTAAGCCATAAACTGTAACCCTCAGGGTTATCTTTATCATTGGAGAAAAGTTACCTGTATCTCTACCAGAGAAAAAGTTACAAGTTAACATGTATGTAATTTCACTAAGATGGTAGTATTTTATCAATCGTAACTAAGTGGAACTAAGTACATTAATTAAATAAGGGATTGGAAATTTTTAATTCTTTACCTAGATGGTAAGTATTTTAGGATTTGCAAGTCATATAGTCTCTATGCAACTGCCAACTTTGTCTACTATAGCATGAAAGCAGTCATAGAAAAATGTATAAAAAATATGCATGCTATGTTCCAACAAAACTCTGTTTGCAAAAATAGGTGGTGGGGTCAGATTTGACTCGCAGGCAGTAGTTGACAGAC